AAGCAAGAAGTGTGATTGATTCATGACAACATCAAAGACGAAAGGTGATTTGTCTGGCCGCGTTTTTAGAATGGGTCGTCGCTTTTTGGGCGTATTCGCTATCCTGATGTTGAAAAGCTGTAGTAAGGGCAGTTGAAGCTACGAAAGAAAAATAAGAGAAAAGTTTGGCAAGGAAGTAACTCAGAGTGTAGACCAGCGACGTTTTTGGTCAGCTATATACCATCTGTCCCGGCGAACATAAGGTACTGCCAGCGCAATGAATGCTTCAGATTTAAACTCTCAATCGATGGAGGTGATATCATCCAGAGACAGATCGAGTATTTTGAGTATCAGTTAGAATCTCTGCAGATTCTAACAGTAACACGAGGTGCATTTTGGAATGGAAATTTTTTTAGTGGCTGAGCTGGGCAACGGTCGGAATACGAAAAAGTGATGGTCCTTCCTAGAAAGACGAAGTTCAGCCTCACATCTTGAAAGCTTGAATCAAGATGGTGTTTTCTGACTGACTATTGTGCGCGATGCTGCGAAGGTTCAGAAAACAACGACGCAGGGGCCAGAACCAGTCTTTGCCGGTTGCCCACATGTTTAGAAAAGAGGGTTAGAAATGTCAAGAATTAATGTGGTAGAATGGATTCTACGACTGCTTCTTTGGGCCGTAGTGAGTATCTCAGTCGACTCTATGAAGAGTGTGCTTGAAGATACGAAGGATGACCAGCTTAAAGGAACCATGAATCCTTGTACTTCAGTTCGCAGGTCTTTGTCCGAATTAACGGTATGCTGTCCATGCTTTTTGGATTACGTGTGTGCTGTTTTCTCTCCAGTTCATAAATTTATGACAGTATCGCATGTGAGCTGCTAATTAAATGGAGAGATATTAATTTAAAGGGTTTATCACGTTATCAAGCTACCGGAAAAGAGCCGCATGAATCGGACTCAAAGGAATCTGACGAAAGCCACGTAAAAAGTGTCCAAGGTACAGATCTTTGACTTTGACCATATGGCAAATGTATCTATGAGCTGCATCTTCAAGAGTCCAGTTAATTGAGCTTGCTTGACTAGCGAGTACAATGTCATCGATAAAACCACCTGTAGTTGCTATTCTCGCAGTGTGAAAGAAATAACGGCTTTTGAAAGTAGATGAATATTGTGAATAGGTCATACAGTGCTGTGTAAGAAGGATGCGCACTTTTGTGGTCAGTGTAGAACACCGCTTAAAGTTATGGAAGCTAAAAATCGGTGTTTCAAAACTCAGGCATTTTAGGAATTCCTTGTTAAGTTGTAGTTTCGAAGTTGAATTTTATTTGCTCAGTCGGTTCATCATCCGATTCATGGTCGGAAGATCGTGAGTTCAAAAGTGCCAGTTGAGTCACTCGCCTTTCATTTTTCCAAGGTAGACAAATGAGTACCACTTTGTGGGAAAGAAGGCAGGAAGCTTCGACATCGTCTAGGCTCTTTTGACTGATGGCATAAAAACGAGGATCAGCGATGGGTAATATTAAGAAGATCGATCTCTGCCATTCGCCAATTATTTGAAAAATGTTTCGCTATTTCATCCTTAATGAACGAATTCATTTTGGTCAATTTATCAGTGCCTTCTCAGGCTGAGGTGCGTTTTTGTCAGAATAGTTGCTGTTAATTTCTTTTGAGAATAGTCTCGTTAGAAACTCGTTTTTTGTTGTGCGTTTCACTTTGTCTCTCTCACACCGGAGGTTGCAGTGCTCGCTGATATTGTCACTGCGAGCGTCTTGTTAGTGGGTTGTGTTGCATCTCTTTTGCATACTGTTCAGCAGTTTTACGTAAGGCAGCGGTTATAGCATCGTTGAATAAACGATTACTTTCCAAATGCAGATCGGCTTTTCCGTGTTCATTTACGTTTACGCTGTTATGCTAACTTCCTGGTCAACGTCTACCTTGTTTTGGTTATATCATGAGAGGTTCACTA